AAACATCCCAATAATCCACAGCACTCCAGTCCATCAGTTAACATCAGGAGAAGACTGGATTAAAAACGTCTTAATGCTGGATTAGTTTCAGCTTTTGTCTTCTCCAGATGTTAACTGATGGACTGGAGTGCTGTGGATTACTTGTGGATTATTGTGATGTTTTTATCAGACTCTCATTCTGGCGGCACCCATTCACTGCAGAGCATCCATTGCTGAGACACTGATGCAATGCTACATTTCTACAAACCTGATGAAGAAACAAACTCATCCTAATCTTGGATGGCCTGAGGGTGAGTAAATTCTCCCAAAATTGTCATTTTTGGGTCAACTGTTCCTTTAAATCAATATACATTTACATGAGAAACAAAATGACAGAAGATATTAAGTCTTGCTTTATGAAAAATGTATCATAATTAAGTGACTTTATTCGTAAAACAAGAAAAAAAAAATGGGGTAAGAACAATAAACTTGTTTTCCCTTTAAACTAAGTTTATTTTTCAGACTCCATTGGCGGATATTTTTTCTTGATTTAAGGATAAAGTCACTTCACTTTCAGAACTTTTTTTCAGTAAACAGGACTTAATACAAGTCATTTTGTTTCTCAAGATTTAAGAATGTTTAGATATTTGCACTGGAAAATGGCACAAAACTTCTTGATGCATTAGATAAAAGTTTCTGCCAAATGCATGAATGTAAATGCAAAATAATAACACGTGCATATGTTTAACGAGTGCAATTACACAATTACAGTGAGCTGTGAGTCAGATGATCTTAACGATGGGCCGGGTAAACCTGGAGGCCCCTGTCAAAAAACACAGAATATAAACATTCATATTTTATCATATAATAAACTAACTGCATGCAGTGTGATGCATGTCTGTAGCCAAATTATAAAGCTATGGTTAGGTCTTAACAAATGCATGAATAAAAAAAAACAATGATCAAAAACAAACATTCTTATTAATGCAGAATCAACGATAAAAATGATTATATTTTTTACTATTCTGTAGTGTGATAATGTGTAAAGTACCTGTGGCCCTGGACTGCCCTGCGGCCCCTGAGGCCCCTGTACAAAGAGATCATCAAACATTTCCATTCAGTCATTTATCTAAAACATTTATCCAAACTTACAAGCAAACGGTTTATCTAGAGCTTCAGTCCTCCTGCTGTAACCTCAGATGAAACTCAGAGGATATCTGAATGAGATTATTGACTTTCTGGTTTGGAAATGTTATGCTTACGCTTATAAATGTTGTATTTCCAAATCAGAAATGCAATAAATCAAGTAACATCACAATATGACTTGATAAAATAATATGCGGCCTAAACTGTCATGATGAGTTTTTTTTTCTGTAAATAAACCAAACTATTAAAAAATGTTTTAGTTAATTTAAATAAGGCTGAAATTAAATAAAATATAAAAAATTTGATTAAAAACCAAATAAAATTGAAACAAAAAAATAAAATAGGAAATAAATGAAACCTAAAACTGAACTAAAAATAAAACATAAATAGTAATATAAAAAAAAAACATTAATAAAAATGTCAAAAGCACTTAAAATGATCAAAAATATAACTAAAATTTAAATGAAAATTGAAAATATAAAAACAAAAGCTAATTTAAAATATTACTATAAGTATAAAAATATATCAATCATAATAAAATAACACTGGAGCAAACATTATCCGAAGTCATTTGGGTTTTTGGGGGTTAAAATCAAACATAAATAGTAATATAAAAAAAAAACATTAATAAAAATGTCAAAAGCACTTAAAATGATCAAAAATATAACTAAAATTTAAATGAAAATTGAAAATATAAAAACAAAAGCTAATTTTAAATATTTAAAATACTATAAGTATAAAAAATATATCAATCATAATAAAATAACACTGGAGCAAACATTATCCAAAGTCATTTGGATTTTTGGGGGTTAAAATCAAAATTTAAATGCAAAAATAAATAGTTTACCAAAAAAAAGAAAAAAAAAAGAAAATTCTGTCACGATTTACTTCCTCACACAGAGCTATCATATGATTTCAGATGTAAAATATCATGCATGGATGTCTTTTATGGTGCTTATGGTGTTATTTTTGCAGATTGTCTGTATAAATCATCATCCACAATGTTTCATCATATGCACAACAAAAAAAGACACACAAAAAAAAACAACATTTACAGCTTCAAAACAATATAAAGTAATTGTGAATGATCACAGTTTTAGTTTTGTATGCACTGTCCCTTTAAGTAAAGAATATCTGAGCTCTGATCAGGGTTATTATCATTAAATAAAACTAAAACTATATATATATAAAAAAATCCATTACTTGAAACAAAATAAAGGTTAACTGAAATAAAATAAAAAATTTTAACTTCTCAAGTTGCCAAGGCAACATTTCTCATTTTCATTTAGTTTAACTTGAAATACTAAAATAACTAAAACTGAAATAAAAGATTTAAATATATATATATATATATATGCATATCTGTCATATATATAATAATGCTGTGTGGTGTGTGACGGAGCGCTGGCGCCTCCACAGGTCACCGCAGGTACTGCAGCCCATCACTGCATACGAGCTGATGTCAGATTGTTTATCCTCTCTGTTCCGTGCGAGTAGTTTATACAGACGCTGTTACACAACCGTTACACAAGAACAAGCAGATATTTCATTAGAGGAGCGGAAAAGCTCCTGATGATGAAGAGCTTTGTGATCTGGCAGCAGACTAAACACAGTGCTGTGAAATATGACGAGCGCATCTTACCATCTCTCCACGGCTTCCTTTAGGTCCTCTGGCACCCTGAGAAAGCATCGAACACATCCGTTATCTGACATTCATCAGGCGCCAGATTGTAAGTCCAGCAGTAACAAGCATGTCATAAACACAGAAATGAAATACTTACAGGCTTCCCCAGCGGACCTATCATTCCCACCGGACCGACAGGACCAGAGAAACCCTGAAACACACACAGACACACGACTGAGACGCGTTAGATGACAGCAGACACTTACATTCACATTTATTTAGAGACGAGTCGAGACGAGACTGACCAGAACTCCCGCCGGCCCTTTGAGTCCAGGAATACCAGTGAATCCTAGATCTCCGTTCGGACCCTGAAACACAGAGAAAGATGCACTTAACATCTATTTTCAGACGCTGACTGAAAGAGCGATTCGTTATTTTGACAGTATGACGTGCGTCTCGAGTTTGTGAACTCGTGAAATGAGCTATACGTGAATATTATACATTGTGGAGTAATTTTAGTAACAGAAATACTCATAGAAGTAACAAACAACAAATCACATATGTACATTAGTGATCTCCATTTTGTTATTATAAAATACAAAAAATAAATACATAATTTAAAAACAATACATTTTAAGCCAATACAAGCTAATATACATATATGTATTAATATTTATTTGTGTAGATTACAGTAAATTAATGAAATAATGTAAATAATAAATACATTTTATTTAATAGATGGATAAATAAATCTAATTAAATAATTAAAATATCATTTTAATTATATTAAATAATTTTAATTGCATTTTATTTTTAATTTAAATTAAATTAATATTTGTGTAGATAGATAGACAGACAGACAGACAGACAGACAGATAGATAGACAGACAGACAGACAGACAGACAGACAGACAGATAGATAGACAGACAGACAGACAGACAGACAGATAGATAGACAGAGAGACAGACAGACAGAGAGAGATAGACAGACAAACATAGACAGACAGACAGACAGACAAACATGCAGATAGACAGACAGACAGACAGATAGACAGACAGATAGACAGACAGACGGATAGATAGACAGACAGACAGACAGACAGA